CAATGAGTTAAATGTTAGCTTGCCTACAGTAATCATTTGACTAATATTGAAAAGAAAATTTAAAACAATATATCTTGTCAAAAGATACCGAGCAGTTATGAATATCTACTCAGTATTAAGGGAAGAAGTGTCAGGTAATAAAGATATTAATTTCTGAATACATTTAGAATGATTATATTTACATTGAATAAACATATTAGTAACTATGTTAGGTAGGTCAATTATAATTTCTTCAGGAGAGGTAATGGTTGGTTGGGTTTTGGCTTGAGAATCATGATTGTTGGATGGTTTATAAGAGCAAGATGGTGTGGAAGATTTGTCGAAGTTCCATTTAATTCTGGTAGATAGTAACGTGTTGGCTGTGGAACAGTGTGGTTTCCAAATAAGGTTGTATGTATAACTGGGTTATGGCTTCATTAGCTGCCTCGACCCAGTTGAAGAAGTCTGTTAAGGAGAAGATTTTATCTGTAAAGCCACAAAATAATTCGGCTACTTGCCATATATTTGAAATTGGTGTTTGGTTGTTATTTGGGTAGAGAATTTGGTTGATGTTTTTGATTATTTGGTCAGCTTCAATGGAGGTTTCAGAGCATTTGAAAATGTGATGGATGTCTTCAGTATGAAGTTCACACCTTGGGCACCAAGCATCTGGATACTGATCAGGATACAGCTGGTGAAGGGTTTTGCGAGTGGGTAGAGTGCCTGAGAGTAGTTTGATTCTAAATGCAATTTTGTTGTGGTAGCTATTATTATGCAATTTTTTGATGTTCTTGTTAGATTTGATGATAACTTTTAAACCATGTGGAGTGTGCTCTTGTCCAAAAGTTTGAGTGACAGAAGAACTTTCGCATATTATATAGTCCCTGATAATACTGAAAATTTTTTTGCACTACCTAACACTACTGCCAAGACATGTGTTATTGATTAGTGGATTTTTTGAAAAGTGTGGTAGGGGATTGTTCCACTGAAAGGATCTGGTTAACAGTGGTTTGGATTTAGGCTTGGTATATATTATTTATATTGATTTTAATTGTGTTTGGTAAATTATTCTTTGAATTAGTGCAGAGAAGTTGATCTTTACCATTCTTCTAGAATAATTGGAAATTGGTTGAAGAATTTTTTTGTTGCTTCTGATTTCAATAATATTGTACTACTGATTCCATTGAACAATATCGAATATTACAAGTAAAATTTTACCTGGTGATAAGCAGGAATTTAATAATTTGACTTTGGTATCGTTTATAATTAGATTATTTTTGTAAAGCTATATATGAGTGTGCTGCTATAGGTTAAATTCTTGTGAAAAAGTTTGTAAAAAAGGAGTGGTGAGGATGTTAACTTCTTGTAGAATAAGTTTATTGTTCTGTAGTATGATAGAGATTTCATCTATTATGCTAAGTAGGCGATATTTTTAATTGCTGAATAGATTAGTTTGAATCCATAATGTTGAGGCCACTGTACTTGTGAACTCTAGCCAACAGAATCCTTGGGAGAGTGAGCTAGCCAAACAGATAGGTTGTGATTTTTTTTAATAATATATTATATTATATATATATAATTTTTTTTCAATAGGTAAATATCATTTTTTATTTATAGTATTATACTTATAAAGTTATATATATGGATAATTATTTTGAAGGTGACAAAAATAATAGATATAATTTTTTCAAATACAACTTTTAAACAATATATATAATATAAATTTTAGGATCATGCCAAAAAATTTTTGATTTATTTTTGAAAATAATTATCCATATTAATGAAAAAAATAATATCTTTTAAATATAAAGTATATAATAAATTAAATATTAGCTTGCCTATATATCTATATCTAATTAATATTGAAAAAATTTTAAAATAATATTATATATATTAAATATAATTAAATAATAATTATATTAATTTATTAAGAATTTTTTGATTATATATAAAGAAAATAAAAAATAAAAAAAAATAAAAATAAAAATAAACTAAAATTATAATAATATAAATTACTAAAATTAAAATTAAATCATTTAAATTATAAGATTTATGTAAATAAAAAAAATATTTAAAAAAAAACTAATTGTTTGATTTTTTATTAATATTAATTTTAAAGATATGATTTTTATTAATATGAATAATATAGTATAATTTATACATATGGCATAAATTATTTTGCTGTTGATTTAATTCTCAAAATTCTCAATAATAATTGCATCATGACTCAATTATTTATATGTTTTAATAGTGACTCAATTAATTGCGTCAAATAATTGTGTCAATTGCGTCAAGGATCTACGAATTTCAGCAACATATATAATATAATTGATATTATTTGTTATTATAGTAATAACTATTATTGTTATTATATTAAAAATTTAATTTAAATAGATTTAATTTTTGTTTTATTGTTTTGATAAAATCTGATTAAATAATTAAAGAGTAATAATTATTTGAAGAGAGTAAATTAATTTTAGTTTTTTAGAAATATTTAAATAATATAATAAGTAATATTATAATAAAGTTATATATAAAGATTATATTAAAATAAACAATAGATCTAACAGTTTTATTTGAATATATTTTTTGAAAAGTGTTTAGTTTAACAAATATAATTATATTAATATAAATAATTTTTATAATATAGTAAAAATAAAAAAAAGTATAAGTAAGGTTTTAAAAAATATCAAATTGATATTAAATTAATAATAAAATTATATTAATTTATAATAAATTTAATATATAGGTTATAATTCATTCTTATAAATTTATAATAAATTTAAGTATTAAAATGGTATCAAAATGATATTGAAATAATATTATTAGAAGTCCTAAATACAAAAGAACAAAAATAAAAAGAACTGTTTTAAGCTTTTTTTTATATAACTAAAGGATAAGCAAGATTTTTAAATTTGAATAGACTTTGATCAGAGATTTTATTCTATTATATCAATTGTCTTGGAGGTTTTAAGTTTTTAAGCTAGGGCTTACTTGCAATAAAAAGTATAAACTATTTTTTTCACTTAAAATTATTATAAAAAAAAAAATTTAACAAAACAAAATTTAAAAATAATATATATATTATTTTATTATATATTATTACTTTATTTATTTATATTTAAAAAAATATTTATGTTAAGTTAATAAAAGTTTGTATATAATGCACTTAGCCTTAAAATATATATATATATTTATATAAAAAAAATTTTTTTAATTTAATAAAACTTTTTGTTATTAATAATAAATAATAGCATATTTAAATATTTTTAATATTAAATATTATAATAAAATTCTATAGATTAAAAAATAAATTACGTAATAAATAAATGACAAATAATAATAATAATTCTTTTTGTTTTTATAAATTTTATTAATACGATATTTATATACAGTAATAAAAATTCTCATAATTAATAAAAAATTTTTTTCTAATTTCATTTTAAATATACAATATTGTATAAACAAAGTTATTACGCATATTATCACGTTTTTTAACGTAATTACCCTATAAATATATCATACTGATATATCATATGTTCTTTATACTCGTGAAATCTGTGAAAGTGTCTAAATAAAGAAACGTGATACAATATATTTTTTTTGTGTACATACGTAATCTAGCATCTAAGCAATCTATCTTTTTTAAGCTTTTTGATCTTTAACCCTTATCATCTGATCATAAAAAAAAATCGTTAAAAAAGTACATGTGGAAAGGCGTTGCACTGTAAACTGTAAACTATTATTTACATAAATTAATAATTCTTGTGTTATATTTATATAAATTAAACAGATATCGATACAAAATCGTTTATAATTGGTGTACCGCATTTCAGTTGTGTGGTACTAACTTTTTTCTTATACTAAAAAAGAGGAATCTGTTATCTTTTCATCTGAAATATTTACGATAGCTGACTATCAGAAGTTGGACAGGAGGCTGAATCATTTATATAACGCCATATCCTTTTCAACTTGTTTCATCCAAAACTTCAACTTATTTCTAAGATATCTAGCATTCCTTGTTCATTTCTCGAAGACAATATGGTTACTTTTACCACTGACTATTGGGCTCCCGCTCTAGACAGCAAGGCCCGTCGTCGTATACCTGAAACAGCAGGAACTAAACCGATCCCCATAAGAAATAATAGTTTACCAGTAGTCGATGGAACCGATCCAAAACAAACTCCTTTTTCCCCTAAGCATTTGACAAGCTCTTCGTCTACACCCGCTTCTTCTTCATCTAATGTTAGCAGCAAAGGTTTATTAAAGGATTTGGATAATTCTTCAAAACCTGCTGCTGAGCCAAAAAAGATTACTATTGTCAAAAGTATAAAGAATCTTTTAAATGCAGAGCACAAGATTTCCGAAAATTCCCCTCCAAGTACTCCTGTCGTAGAAGAATCTGAACTCGAATTTAATAACTCTCCCAAGATATCAATGTTAAAAGAGATTCTCAATCCTAAATTGGACCTCCACGAGCAGTTTAAGGGCATTGAACTGTATGTTGATAGTGAAAGTTATAAAGTAGATCCGGAATGCATGCTGTTTAAGAAGTACGGAGTATGCGAAAAAGGTTGTATTGGCAAAGGCGCAACAGCTATAGTTCGTCTTGTTCATAAAAATGATCAGACGGATACTGAAGCAACCTATGCCGTTAAGGTATGCGAAGATCTTCCCTTGATCGCGGTTCTTATATAAATCAATATTAAGGTTTTGATCCATTTTACTTATAGGAATTCAGAAAGAGAAGAAAGAATGAGACAGAGAAAGAATATATCAAGAAATTAACTAGTGAATTCTGTATAAGTTCTTCTCTTCAACACGTGAATGTTGTTAAAACTGTGGACTTGGTGCAGGACGAGAATCACAATTGGTGCGAGATAATGGTATGTATTATTTTATACATATCCTATATTGATTTGTATTTTTCTTATCCACATTTATTAATCTAACCATTTTCTTATAGGAATATTGCGTTGGTGGTGACTTATATGCAGCCATAAAGTCTGGTTTTATGACTTCGGTAGAGATAAATTGCTGTTTCAAACAACTTATCATGGGTGTTGGTTATCTTCATTCCACAGGTGTCGCTCACAGGTGTGTTATGTAATTCTTGTACTAGTTTATATTTACACAGTCGTAATTATTTAAACATGTTGTTGACATTGACTTATTTCTTATTCTCAGGGATATAAAACCAGAAAACTTGTTGCTCAGTGAAAAGGGACATTTGAAAATCACTGACTTTGGTGTTTCAGACGTCTTCAAGACATGTTGGGAAGGGGTAGTTCACATGTCCAAAGGTCTTTGTGGTTCTGAGCCATATATTGCCCCAGTATGTATCATACTATTTTTTTTTTTTTTTTGAATATAAGGTATATTATTAAACGGTGATTGATTCGACATTTATCTTGTCTACAGGAACAATTTGAGACCAAAGAATACGATGCGCGACTTGTTGATGTTTGGGCGTGTGGCATTGTTTATTATTGCATGATTTATCAAGGCATTCCATTCAGGATGGCGACTCCCAACGATCCAAATTATGCAAATTATTTGGAAACTAGAAATATTGGCTTATACGAGTCATTCGAAAAACTTCCTCGTGGTTGTCGAGATTTAATGTATAAAATTCTTGAACCTAATCCACAGAAACGTTACACGATAGAACAAATCAAAAATGATTCATGGTTCCAAACAATTGAATGTTGCACGGAAACAGAGAATCTCCCTCATAAACACAATCATGTCCCCCCGGAATATTTAAAGGAAATCCAAGCAAACAATGCTAGTGAAAAAAGTAAATAGTACCCACATTTTAATTACACCAACCTAAATAATAAAAAACCATAGACGTAATAATATACACCTTAATATATTTATATAGTTTTCTTGTATTATACATGAAAATCTAGATTTTGAGAGCTGGCCTTTTCTTTTTAAAGAAAGAAAATCCATCTTTTTCTTTAGATAAAATTTCCCCTTTTGAAAAATAAAAAAGTGTATATTCGTATTCTATTATTTTTGTATTTTTTATTCCAATCATAACAGTGTAAATTTTTGCAACAATTCATTCGATCAATTTGGTTATCACGAGAATAGTAAATCATGTATCACGTGATCAAACAAATAATAAATAATTTATATAATTATTTTTATATAATATATTGTACAATTTAAAAATTTTAATTTTATTAATTTTAAAATAATAATAATAATTGATTATTAATAATATTTTAATATAAATTAATTAAATATAAATTCATAAAACTTTTATTTAATATAAGATTATTTATTTTTAATAAAATTTAATAGATAATTTTTTTTTTTTTTTGCGAAGCACTTCTCAAGTTGTGATCTTTATTAATTGTTGATTTAATTTTTACAGAGGAAGACTTAGTATAAAATTTACAACA